AATCAGGAAATCTAGACAAATACAACAGTAAAAGTTTCATGAAAAAATAGTAAGAAATAAGAAAGTTACAATCTTTTCCTTTGCTTGCATTAGTATGTGTCTCACCGATATTTGATCCTCGTCGTTTCGGCGACCGATCGTGTTTCATTCTTGACTGATTTCGAGGGTTAAATTTTAACATTTACGAGTTAAATTTTAACATTTACAGTAGAGATCTTTTTAAACATTTACGGAGTGAATACTGTATTTCTTAACCCGTACTACGTTACAACGTTATTGATTATTGTTACAAAAGTGTTAATCGAACAATCTCGAATGACTGAATTACGATATCTGAATCCGCGGTATAATCGATGATCCGTCCGGCTCGCAATATGATCTGACTGTGACTAATGTCTTATCATATCTGTCTCGCACGCGTCTACCTGCTTCTGTTTTTATACTCTTTCTTATCTCCAAGCTGCTAATAATTCTGTTGCAGTATCACTTTACGTTTCTCAATAAAACCAGATACGACATAAAATTATTAAATGCGGTTTTTCATTTCTTACAACTACAGTTTGCAATATAAAAATCTGAAAAATAGGCAAAACAGGCCAAAAACCGAAATTTTGTTTTTCCCTTTTTACTACCCCGTGGTCGAGATAGGGGGGTTGAAACTTGGTGTAAGATGTCTTTTTTTTATATATACTATCGACTGACGTATTGGATATTTCATTTGGCTCAAGTGCATTTTTGATCATCCCCTTCCTCTTTCCTCGAGTTGCACTCGCTAGGATTAGGAAACTTGGATGGAGCCCGTATTCCTACAAGTCGCTTGACGTCTAAAAATAGATTGACAGATATGGCAACAGCGTTATAATCCGGCAACGATGCCTTCGCGTCGTTCCTTCACCAAAAAATTGGTCGGTAATAGGAATAGAAATAGGTGGGTAATAGGAGTAGGAATGGGTGGGTAACAGGAGTAGGAGTAGGTGGGTAATAGAGTTTAGGTATATTTCTAGATCTAATCGATAGACGCAACGTGAGTTGTCTACTTTATTTCCAGTTTTTTCCGCTCATAGACATTGTCTCTTCGATCGATTCGGAGGTAAACAAAAACGGGATCCTAGCCTAATGTAAACCAGTGCTCGGATTTAGTTGCACTTGTCGGGCCGATTTCGGAGTAGACGCCTACCATGCCCCTACTCCCGCGCTAGACTGCCCACTGATGCCGTATGCCAGGGACGTCGTACGATAGATTTGTCGGGATCCATCCGTGATTAAAAATTTTGCTTGCACTGTTAATAATTATTATTTTTACAGATTATTAAAATTATTAATACTATGTTTACATCTATAAACATCTTTTATATATACATATAATAACAATAATAGAGGTACAGTAGTACCTCTTGGGTGATATGAAAAACTATTGACAAAATTGTAATTATTATAACATGTATTACTGTTATTGTATGTACAGGGTGTCCGCGCCAAAGTGCTACAGCGTGATATCTCATGAACTATTGATGTCACGAAAAAATGCTTATATGGAAATTGCAGGGCAAGAGAGGCCCTATGTTTTGGCGGAAGCAAAATTTTTTTATTGTTATTAATGTAAAAGATATGACGGTGAAGTTTCGTTTTTTAAATGGAACGATCAGGCGATAGTACTTTTCAAGACGAATTCATCAAGGTTTTATGTACTTACCCGATTTTTATTAGTTTTCGGGATATAACGCTTAGAAATTGACTGATTTTTAGCAGTGACGTCTCGGTTTGAGTAGTAAGTCATAAAATCGGTCTTATTGTTGCGGTAAGTGCCGCGGGTTTGACTCTGCTTGCCGAAACTGATAGCCGAGGGTTTACGGTCCCAACGGTAAGTCCGAAGAGTACGAAACGGAAAGAATAGTCCATCATCCTCGATGCGGAAAACTTAAAGCGTAATGGACAATTGGTATATGTATATACATATACATATATATGTATACATATACATATACATACATATATACATATATGTATATACATATATATGTATATAAGTAGGTGCGTGTGCACTTGTTAATACCGGACGTTCAGTAGCAGGTTTATAATTAATTAATAATGTTTAAAAGGACGGTCGGTAAGTACCGATAAGTTACCGACCTATGATAACGCGGTAGCATTTATTCCGGCATCACTGTTGGCGAGTTACCGACTGATGGTAAACGATCGATTGTTGGTAATGGTTCGATGGCCGTTGAGTTACCGACGGTAGGTAAGTTACACTGCAATGCTATGAGCCTGGTCGGAATGTTACCGACGGAAGATAAGTTACCTTTTGCGATTGAGTCTAAGGTCGATTAATGATAAGTTACCGACTAATGGTAACTCCTATGGTAATGATGTCACGAAAAAGTGCTTATATGGAAATTGCAGGGTAAAAGAGGCCCTATGTTTTGGCAGAAGCAAAATTTTTTTATTGTTATTAATGTAAAAGATATGATGGTGAAGTTTCGTTTTTTCAAATGGAACTATAACTTTTTTCTCGATCAGGCGATAGTACTTTTCAAGACGAATTCATCAAGGTTTTATGTACTTACCCGATTTTTATTAGTTTTCGGGATATAACGCTTAGAAATTGACTGATTTTTAGCAGTGACGTCTCGGTTTGAGTAGTAAGTCATAAAATCGGTCTTATTGTTGCGGTAAGTGCCGCGGGTTTGACTCTGCTTGCCGAAACTGATAGCCGAGGGTTTACGGTCCCAACGGTAAGTCCGAAGAGTACGAAACGGAAAGAATAGTCCATCATCCTCGATGCGGAAAACTTAAAGCGTAATGGACAATTGGTATATGTATATACATATACATATATATGTATACATATACATATACATACATATATACATATATGTATATACATATATATGTATATAAGTAGGTGCGTGTGCACTTGTTAATACCGGACGTTCAGTAGCAGGTTTATAATTAATTAATAATGTTTAAAAGGACGGTCGGTAAGTACCGATAAGTTACCGACCTATGATAACGCGGTAGCATTTATTCCGGCATCACTGTTGGCGAGTTACCGACTGATGGTAAACGATCGATTGTTGGTAATGGTTCGATGGCCGTTGAGTTACCGACGGTAGGTAAGTTACACTGCAATGCTATGAGCCTGGTCGGAATGTTACCGACGGAAGATAAGTTACCTTTTGCGATTGAGTCTAAGGTCGATTAATGATAAGTTACCGACTAATGGTAACTCCTATGGTAATTGATCAATTGTCGAGATGTTACCGACTGTAGAGAAAAAATGTAATGATCGATAATTATAACCTTATAATTATGCAATATCTGCTAATAACGTGTGGTTTTGTGTAGTAATGGCGCGAAAAAATATATGTGTAGTGAGGAGGAGCCGGAACATAACACCTCTTGTCTTTCCATCCTAAAACTAAAGTGTTACCCCGCCAATACGCGACCGTGGATTTTGTCGAAAATTTTGGCTTTTTTATTTCCGTCGGCAATTCTTTTCTGTTTGTTAGGATTGTTCCGGTAAGACTACATTTCAATTTCGCTAGCTCTTGAGCTAAGAGGTAACTGGTATAGTAGCGGTCCGTGTACATATGGTGAGCACCCTGGTTCCCTGAGCACCTGGAATTTTCTCCAACAACACTTGGTATATGTGACGTATACGTCACGATCCGGCAACCGCGCCCCGGCAACCGCGCTCCGTCAGCCGCGCTCCGTCAGCCGCGGGTCGTCGACCGCGCACCGTCAGCCGCGCACCGCGAGGTGGGGACCCCCCACCGAGACCCGAGACACTTAATCACCGATCGATCGCGTGATCGATGAGTTGGCTCGGGGCGTCAGCCCCGACAGGACCTCTTCGGAGGTCCGCTCCAGGCAAATTCGGCTTCCCCGGTCTGCGGACAAGGCTCGGACTGGGAAAGCTGGAGGTCGGCACCGGTGCGAAGGCAAGGCCACGCACCGGAGCTGGCCACGCCAACCCTCGGCGCCTCCACCGGCCGTGGAGCAAGCGGCAAGGCCCAGCTCAATAGGAGTGGAGGACGCGAGACAACGGTCTACCGACTTCTCTACCGGTTGCGGCCAGGCCCGGGGTAGGTAAGTCGGGGTGGACACCGTGTCGGAGGCCAGGCCACGGCGCGGAGTCTACCGGACCGCCGGGAAGCTAACTCAGGAACATCTCTGGAACATCTCTCGGTTTTAATAAGAGCAAGGCAAGGCCAGAAGTGGCCACTTACCCTGTGTTCTTTACTATCCTCCCTTCCTCCTCTTCTCGATCGCGCACCGGCCGTAGAGTAAGTACCGCGAAACCCGCGAACGCGTTCCTCCGCCGAACCGCGAACACCGCGACGTGTTCCTCCGCCGAACCGCGAGCACCGCGACGTGTTCCTCCGCCCGCACCGCGAACGCGTTCCCCCGACCGATCCGCGAACTCCGCAAGGCGCTCCTCCGACCGAACCGACCGACCGAACCACGAGCGCCGCGTCGGACTTAGAGATAAGATAGATTGTAAAAATAGGTAGGAATAGTACATAAGCGCGTAGCATGTAAGCGTAGTATGTAAGACTATATTGTAAGCGTTAGGTATAAGACCCGCGCCGCCACCGCCGCCATATTGTACTGACTATCGCGTCTAACACTGTGCATTGTATATTCTAGAAGCCGAAAACCGCGGAACCACAGGCGACTCCACCGGCAGCGGACCCAAATAATAACATTAATAAATAGAAATAGTTAGAGCTAAACCGTGTACCCGCGACCAGTCCCCTTCCTTCCGCGATCGGCCCCCTCGCGTCGACCCTGGCGCGCTGAAGCGTCCGGCACAAGGGGGCCCGTGAGCCGCGTACTCCACCGCGCTGCCTAGCAGCGCAGGCGGAGGAAACGGCTACGTTACATATAGGTGTATTGGTATTCTTGATGAAACTGGTAAATCGGGTCTGACCAAAAGCTTTGTGATGAGTGATCCATAGTATGGCAAAATACAGCAAATGTAGCCAGTCTTTGAGTCAGCTAAAGTATAAACTCTGATGTCCCACTTTGTCGGTTTCTTCGGATTGTATGTATGTAATGAACGAAATTCGACCCTTGTATTTTATAGTTGATTCGTCCACACATATGTGCTCGTCCGGTATAAAATAATCCAAAAATTTTGAATTGAGATAATCCAAAAAGCAGCTTACGCGTTGTAGGCGCGTTCGTGGATTGGTGGTGTGTGTTGGAAGAGTTTCCAGATGAAGCATCCAAAATATTTGACTAAATCTGTCTCTTGTAAATGTTTCCGAATAGAAAGGAATATGACTGACGACATTCTTCGACCAATATTCTTGCAAATTGGCCAACGGCATTGTCCCGATATTGATAACGACAGCAAGAAATGCCCAGAACTCTTCGTTGGTGACATCACGCCAGCTTCGCCATATCGAAGTTGCAGACAGCGTCTTCCCTTCCAATTTTCTTTTTGCATACTTAATGGTTTCACGAATAATTTTTTTCTCGAGCTTATTAGTGAAAAACAGTTGTAAAAAATCTATTGGTTCTTGTACGTTGGACATTATTTGTGGTGCTGTGGGGTTTTGACCAGGTATAAATTGTACGTTTGGCAGCACTTCGTCGTAGTCTCCGCAAAGTACCCATGTTGAACTGCTGCACCTTCCACAGCTTCATTTTCAACTTCTCTTTCAACATCACTCTCAACTTCACTGTCGCTCTCTATAATTTTAATTTTTCGCTGTCCACACCTCTTACTCCATCATTGTCTTCTCCACTGGATTCGTTGGTTTCGCGACATAATCCACCGGAAATCAATGTAAGTTCGTCATCCAAAGCGGCAAAATCGAATTCGTCCGAACTCGAGCTGATCTGATCGTTCTCCATATTTTAGGGCTCAAATATTTTTTAGCTACTATATGACTGTGTCAAACGAATGCTACGCTGAGACTAACTGAACTGAGCTAAGATTTGGCTACAATGTCAGCCGAACCTAGTCCACGAAAGTACTTCAGAGAAAAATATCTTATCGCACATCGTAAATAAAGAGATCGAGTTACAAAAGACCATAGTGCCGTAGCAGCGTCGTTCGACTTAACACTTCAAATCACTCGGGCGCTGCAGCAGCGCTGCTCGAGTTCACACTTGAAATCGGCCGGGTGCCGTATCGGTGCTGCACGAGTTCACACTTGAAATTGGCGGGACGCTGTATCGGCGCCGCTCGAGTGCAAAGGGTTAACTCTTCTACTGAGTCCTCCCACTCAAATATGACTCCTCTGCGGTACTTCATCCTTTTCGGGAGAAATGCAGTCACCTGCCCTTCTTTGCCGCTATACCTCCTGATCAAACGGTTCGCTTCCTCCTTGCTCTTTGTTGATACCTCCGCTTTGCTATCTCACTGTCCTTTCTCTCCTCGCACACTTTGTCCTTTTTTACTCTGTTCACTATTTCGATACTACTCACTGCATGTTCCACGCTATAATGACTGACTTTTTGCGCGTCTTTCTCTACCTTCTTCGAACGCCATTTGCCGCAGTGCAGTAGTCTTACGCTCGGCCACCGCAGCCTCTTCGGCCTGGAGAGCGATGGCCCTCTGCTTCTCGCAGTTAAGCCTCGCAAGCGCGTCCGCGGTCCTTTTCGCGACCGCCTGTTCTGAGTTCACAATGGTGTTCCTACCATTTTGCGATCCCAGGGGCCTGCCCCTCTTCCTGGCCGGGGTCTTCATCACCGGCACTCCCTCTTTGGAGATCATCGACACGGACATGTCTGATCCCTCGTCGCGAGATCCTCTTCGCGTCCTCCTCTTCGGCAGGACCTCCTTCCATGCCTCGGTGCTGTCGCCAACTTTTGGCGACCCTCGTCCCGACTCCCGGCCCGAGATGCAGAACAGCGACTCGGCGTCACTCTCCATTCCGTGTTCATCGCGACAGCGGCGCACGGCTTGGCTGACCGAGCCACCGTCGGCGCCAGCC